CATAATTTTTATTCTTGACTGATGGTTGTGATGAAGAAAAACATTCATATCTGTATAAGATATTCATCGTCGGTTTTCATGGCTTGAAATGTGTGCCTTCGGAATGTAAACAATGATGAGAATCATTATATTCTAAATTTCAATTCTATTTGATCAGATAGTAGTCACGCGATCTGTGAAGTATAAAAGAGGACTTTTCGCATAGTTAATGGTTGATGTTATGACCTTTAACTGACTGGATGGTGTATAGATATTATCAAGTATTTTATTTGCAATGATGCATAACGATTTATTCTTACAAATCATTATAGTTATTTATCAGAAAATTGCATTGACAATGAATAGAAAATAAGATAAATTTCTTTCTTTTTTCTATAGGTTTAATATTTATCAAATTAAAACAATTGTATCACTGAAATCTTGACTTTCATGATTTTATGACAAAATCTACTTGTACTTTAATGAAAGGATGGTTAAAATTATTGGTATTTCAGTTGCATTCATTGAATGGAATATTCTAATTTAGAAAGCGAAAAAATTCTATTTTTCACCTTCTTTGTGTCTAAATACAATATTCTCAGAGATAAATTTTAATCTTATCTTGTTAAATGTTGTTAATAATAACTTGACTTCGTCTCTTATTATCGCGATGACATTTTTTTGATCAATAACTACGTTTATATTCAATGAATGCTTGAAGATTATTCAAATAAATATATTTTACCTGTACTAAAAAACAGTTAGTAAATACATAGCCAGTTTTTGTTGTTTTTTTTCTCTTAACGTTATTTTATCAATGGATACGAATAAGCGAAAATATTTATGGACCAAAATGACGTACACCCACTTATTTTGTTTTTATCTTCAACATTACATAAATAAACGAGGAAAAAGCCAGAACTAAGGATAAAGTATACTCATTTTTATCTTAAAGTAAAGACCATTGGAGCAAAGACAGTACATACAAACAAAATAATCATATCTTGAAAAGACATACCTGTTCTATTTTTTACATAAAAAATGACAGAAAATAATGAGTGAAGCATGCCTGTATAATCAATCGTAATGTCGCATATTAAAACATGGTCATCATTGTAAATTCGAGCAATTATTCATGTATTATTATTGCAATGATATGTCATACGGCAGCATAATTTTTTTCAGCCAAAAATAAAATTCACATTTCTAGTTATTCTAAAAAGAAGCAATTCATTAGAGAAATGTATGATTAAAAAGTGTACAATAGATTTTTTATGAATATTACCCAAAAAACAACATTACTGAATTTATTGGTTGTATGCTGAATATGAAAAACAATCTTCAGATCGATCAAAATAAATTATATGATATATATTCACCGCGTAAGATTATTTTAGAACTGTACGAAACATTCCTGATCAATAATATCCGTATCATCATAGATTAACCACATCAAACTGTTCGGTTTCATAATGATTATAGTTCATCGATTTTACATATTTTTCGTTTTTTATGGATTCATATATATATATATATATGCAATAGCCTTGAGAAATTTTTTTTTCTATATGATTCACCTACGAACCATTGTTAGTCATAAAGTATAAAGTTCGAGTCAAATAAGCGTCATATTTTGTCTTAGACCTAGTACTTGTTATTACGAACATATTTACACAGTGAACCATTTAACTGAGCGATAGATTTGTTCTAATGTGATAAATATATTTTTAAAAATTTTATCATGAATCTACTTCGCAAAGAAAAATGCAGCCCTACAAAAAATAGCAAACAATTAAAAAAAACTCACATGAGACGATATAAATAGACTACGCAACGACTTCAGCGTGAAGAAATTAAGCAAAATGAGTATCAAACAAAAATTAGCATTTCGGTTCTGGTACTCAAGGTTTTCATACATGACAAAAAAATACTTTAATAAAAATCGAAAAACATTTTTTACCTAGAAGTAATTTGAACCGATGCATCGATTGATAACTATATTATTATGGAAGTTTATACTAATATTGAATATGATTCTTGGACTCGGAAAAAAATATGCTTTTATTTCATCTTATATAGACATTCTTTAGGAGAGAATAATAAATAAAAATAGTTCAAGTTGATTTTTTAATACTACTTTTACAAATCAGTATCAATCTAAATTTCGTTTTGAATATTGAGCCGTGACTACCAAAGGTAATATAATTTATTTATATGAAAAAATATTAAAGCTGACATGCATAATAATTGGAATGTTTTTATTTATGTTGAACCGATGTTCTTCATTGTAAATCTTATGAAAGCAATATAACATAATTTTGTTTTGTTTTCGTTGCCACTCGTAGCTCATTGGGAGTGTCTCTGGTTTAAAGCGCGAAAAACGACTACATACATGAATTTAAAAAAGAAACATGATTGATAAAGTTGATCATTAGAATGATTTTCAATGATTTCTTTTAGTTTTTTGCAATTGACAATGAGTATTTATTAGCATGCAATGATTAGTAAGACCGCGGAATCTGAAAGCAATAGTAATCAATAGATCTGCAACAATTTTGAAATTTTGTTAGAATTGCTTTCAACTTTATTCCTAATCGATATACTAACAGCGAAGAATACATTTTTTAAGAGAGAGTTATCGATAGATCTGATCTCTGACAAATTCGAAAGCAGGCAGTCACCTTAAAATATTCTCTAGTAAAATAATGTCTTCGAATAATATCTATCAATATAATGCCACATTCAAATGCAATTTTTTTCTTCGTTCAGCTGGAAAAATGATGCTCTGCACTGAATCTATCGATTAATTGTGCACTCTAAAAGTAATTTTTGCCAGAATTCTAGTAATTTTTATTTATTAGATTTTTCCCGATCAAAAAACAAATTAATCTAATAAAAACCGATTGATTGGCAAATAAATGATGTTCTATTCAAAATGTTCTTTAGAACGCGAACTAAAGACCAATAGAGTTTCACCTACAGATTGTAAACATAATTTGATTTATTATCTAAGTGATTCATTATCTATGGCCAGTTGTATTTGCAATTGTTTCATAATAAAATAAGAGAATATAGAGATATCAATGTCTCGAATGATTTTGCAATGGACATCAGAGATTATCGTGTCACTAAATATGAGCGTTGGACTGATCTGATACGAATAAAATGGTGTCAAGAGTGAGCCATTATATGGTGCTTTGCATTAATGATACTAATGTTGGTGGTAGTCGTTCATCACATGATAAAATAACTGCGAATATACTTAACTTGATTTTGTATTTATAACATTGTGAGATCAAAACAGCGACTATTCAAAGTAGCATCAAAATCCTAGAAACAACAGAATATTTTTGAAATCGTAAAACTTGATGAACAAATCTATCAATGGCTTGAATTAAAATATGCGAGAAATACGCAATTACCTGAGCACATATAGTAAGAAAAAACACTATTAGAATTTCAATGATTGAATAGGAAAAAACTGTCGAATATTACTACACGCATTGGTACATCAACAATATTTTTATTTTCGATGAAATATCTTTAGATAGAAATATTTGAAGAGATGGTAGAATATGAATACATTTGAGAAATATTTATTTTTTGGTAATAAAACTAGAGAAGAAAACTTGCAACCTGACGTGTAATAGACTGCTATTCTTAGGATAAACGATACACTTGATTTCACGACTACAGCAACATTGAATAGTTCAATAGAAACGCTAAAACAAACATTCCTGATGAAAATAATGAACAGTATAATATTTTACATCACTTCATAGAAAATATTAAAATAGTTAGTTTGACAAACAAAAATAGCAAGTAATTCGATTGATATAGATAATAATGTATGTCTTGTTTTATTTTTATTTGCTGTAAACAGTCATACCAAATAAATCCAGAAATCGACGTAAATGTTCATTCGATATTTAACTTTATGTTTACCTCATAAAATTTAATTTTTCAACTAGAGGTGTCAGGTTAGCATTAATAATGAAAATAATGCATTGGTGTATTATGGTAAAGAAAATGCTTAATGCGGATTTATTCCCTATTTTATCATTCCTAACCCCGATATTACTTTTAATTCTAAAGATTTATTATTAATCAATTTTCCTGGAGAAATAAATCAATGTATTATTTTCACTTTTAATGCTAACCCGACACCTCTATTTTCAATAATCGCATCCAACTACGAATATGTTAGCGTTTAAGTCCAATCAATTCAAGGCAGATATAAGATGGATATTAAAATGGAAACAACTTCGATGATAGCCTATCGAAAAATGGATAGCCTCACATTCATTCGCCGTGTTATATCATCACCAGTTAAATACAATACTGTACTGATTCTCCAGTGTATATGATCTTCAATTAAAAGACGATACAAGTAGCTTCTCACATTGCAAGGCTCTACGAATCTGATCGATTAGCAGCAGCAGTTGTGGTTTAAATTAATTACCACTTTAAAAATCAATACATATTTTCAAATACTTTTGCGGCGACGGCACTTTAGATAGAGTTCATTCAATAGAATCAGAGGTCTACTGTCATACAATCAAAAATTTGTTTTGCAACACAGTAGTTTGGTTCAGAAAGAAACATGTGACTCATTTTCAATAACATATCGACCAAATTCTTGTTTCATAGAACGCTAAAACTCAATCGGCAGTTATTTTCATTTTGAGAACTGCCTCTGAGTTTTTTTCTTGCATGTGACACTTTGTTATTGTTGCAAAACTAACAACAAGTAAAGAACCCACATGAAAAGAAAATTCCTTTTTCAAAATTGTTTTTATGCTGTCTAAAAAATAAGCAGATATTTGTTACAATTTTCAACTTTCAACAGTTTGTCTTATCTACAATAAGTTATTTATTTTATCGTTCCAACCGATCTATCAAGAAACTGTCTGTTCAGTAGTTTAAGACATTCATCTTTCTAAAAATCATTAGGTTTGTTTGTTGAATAAATGAGATCAGCGTAACAACAAATGTTTCATTATTGGAAGCCACAGCGTTTTTTACTTTTTTCCTGCAAGATTCGCTTTATCAGGTTCAATGGGCAGCTGATCTACTCCAAGCGCTGATGATTGCTCATGTTTTTCATCTGTTTCTGGCTTTGTTTCATCATACTTAAAAGTTCCTTTGATGCTCATAATTGCATTCTCAAATAATGGAATTGTTGGAAGATGAAATCCTCCTTCCTTCTTTGTGGTAGGAGTTTCAGCTGTTGATTGAATGTTGATGTCATTTGCACCCGAAGAATCGGACTGTGGATTTTTAATATTTTCGTCTCGCTTCGTTGCCTCGAATCCAAATGTTTCTCGCAGTGAATTCATTGTATTATCGAAAGATTTCGCTGTTAGCAGACGGAATATAGATTCCTTCTTTTCTATTGAGGGTGAGATTGGCGATTCTATCGGTACCGCCGCTGTACTAGACGTATCCGAACTTTCAGATTTTGAACTTTGTTGTCGGTTAATTCTAGCACGGCTAGGTAATTCTTTAATACTCTCCATCGTAGTATCACTGAATGGAAACGTTGGAAGGCGCGCTCGTCCTTTTTTCTTCGGCGTTGAGTTCGAACCTTCAGATTGCGTGGGGGTCAACGTTACACCATCGGAATCTAAATTTTGTGCTTTAACTGACTCCTCTTGGTTCGTGCCATCCAACCATAATGTACCACGGATTGTTTTTAATGTTTTATGAAATAGCGGCATACTTGGTAAATAAAATTGCGATTCTTTTTTTGTTGTTGAGTGCTTGTTCAAAGTTTCCGTGGTTTCCATGGTTTCTGCCTTTTCTTCTGTTGCATTTGAGTTTTCAGATTTTGCATTTTGATCTCGTTTCACTTCATCGAGCCCTAGTGTTTCTCTAATTGTTTGTAATGTATTATCGATCGACGGCATACTTGGAAGGTGAAACCTTCCTTCCTTTTCCGACGTGGAAGCGGTTGTTTCAGATTGAATGGCTGTCTGTTTTCTGTTCATGGTATCGAGGTGTCCACTTTTCAAATTTTCTTCTTGTTTCGTTTCATCAAATTCTTGTGCTTTTGTGCTGGTTTCCATCGTATTGTCAATAGAAGCGGCTGTTGAAAGTTGAAATCTTACTTCTTTCTTTGCTGTGGGACTCTTTCTTTCACGTTCAACGAAGTTGGGCTGTTTATCCGATAACAACGATTGTTGACGCTTCATAATCTCCTACTGCTTGATCACGCGTATTTATATTGTTACTATAATAGCTTCTAATGTGACTCGAAATTCAATTGTACATTTGGTTTTTATCTGAATTTAAAAGATAGAAGACAGACGACACTGAAGGAAAATCAATGAATGAGAAAAACAGAAACGTAACTGGAGAAATATGACTTTCCGCCATATATATATATATTAATGACTTTTCTGAGAAAGAGAGCTGATGTTTTGGTACATGAAGTATGTGTTAGCTTTCGTACTATATGATAGTTTGTTGTATAGATTTCGATTTGTGAAACCTTCACAGATATATACATGTATGAGAATCGTCACTTTTTGGTGCAGAGAAGAATTAAATGTTATAAATCTAGTGATTTCCAGTGTTGATGAAAATTTTGATTTTAAAGAAAAGCGACTCATAATTTAGTAAATGTGTATTCTTCGCATATTTGAGTAACAAAATCTACAATGTTCTTGGCGAATACCAGATTTAAATCGTTTTCTGATAGGCGTACTCGAAAAATACTTTGACTCAAACGTGTTCTATTTTCTACAGAGATATTGGCCACATTAAACTATTCTGAGTTCTAGCTTTAGGTACCATTTAATAAATGCTTTTAAGTTCAAGCCGAAGATTATGGAGCTCAAAAAGTGTCGAGCTAGAAAACTAAAAAATCTAATTAGGTGCTTGATGTTGTTGCTGAAATATTAAATGATTCAAAAAATGGTACCGAAACGTCATGCTCAAGAAGGTGATCATAAGATATATTTTCTATTTTAGAGTATTTTTCGTCAATAAAAATGTAGTGAGTAAGGTTGTGCATGAACTCGTTCATACGTACATGCAATTAGTCTTTTGTATCCTCTAACGTACTCTTTATTTCCATTCTTCAAACCATATTCTTACAGTTAGTTAGGGATTCATACAATTCGAATTTGCTACGAATAAGGATTAACGCTGATACCACAAAAGATTAAAAATAGGTGGTATAGACTATTTTTAGAGTTTCTAATTCTTTTTTTGCAGTGATAGTAGCACTATTTTCCTCTGAGAAGTTAATCATTTTCAGTTCTACCTATGATCGTTTCTTTGCAAGATAGTACGCTAGAATATTACTTTGAATTGAATATTCATGCAAATACCTTTAATATATTTTATCAGTGAAGGCCGATCTTAAATTGTATTATCAATGAAGAAGGAATCATAGTTCTTCATTGTAATTAATGAGCTAATTTATTCTTCGCATCTGATTAATGGTGCCATATCTTTTTGAAAGACACCAAAATCACGGAGTAGATCTGGTACGAGAAGCAGAGTAAATATGCAGTGAACTCATAAGTGATGCGTCGGGTGAACATTTAAATAGTGTGCACAACTAATTTTGGGCTTTTTAGCCGTCTAAAACTTTCTCTCCATTTATAGAATGCTAATGTAAAGTAGACATATGAATAAAGATAGTGTGGAGAAAATTTTCAATGCAACTGCTATAGCATTAAAATATCAAGCCTACTGTAGCTACTGTAAATAATTTTTGTAACTTTTATATCTATTTAATTGACCAGGGCAATACCAAAACAAAAACAAAAAAATAGAATTTTCGTAAAAGCCAATATGTCATTACAAAATATGATAGACTTATCGATATCTCTGATGATGTACTTTAGTGCGTTAAAACAATTTTGGTATGCTGGTTGAGGTTTTAGAAACAAGTTTTTCTCGTCATTTAGTTTTAACAGTCGCTACTGGTCATGTTTACAAAAAAAGACTACGATATAGAAGACAGAGACTAGTGTGTTATCTACAGAGATTCCAAGTTTGATTTAAGTACTCGAAAGGATGATCTAACTGTTATAGAATGTGAATAGTAAAAAAAATGATTATTGGTCGTCTATGGCTCGATCTAGTTGGATATCTTCTGATAAGAAAAACAAGCAATTATCAGTTAACTGTTACCAGTTGTAATAGACATCTACGGCTTCTTTACTGTCTCAAACAGATACAGCAAGCTTCATAGAGAAACACGAAACTCGTCCCTACGGAACAAAACTATCTAATGTATCTTCACACCTCATGAAGAAATTTTTGTTGTTCTATCCAATAATACAGTCCTCCCTAAGAAAGATAGAAAATATTTTCAGTAGAGATACTAATAATTGGTTCATCTGGAGGAAAAGATATTTTTTGAAATAATTCTGTACGCAACAAATTCTTCTAAAACAGCGAACCTGCTTTTTTTTAGTTAGAAAAACAACGATATATATACATATATATTATAGAAAGAACTCACAGATGTAACAGTTTCAGGTTTTTCTTCAAACAAATGAATGTTTAGTAACTTTTACGTATTCCAAATGAGACTGCTCTAAACAATGACGAAACCAGATACATAATCGTTAATAAACAAACACATTCTGCACGATCGTATTTTGAAAAATTCTACTTTTATTATTTCGACGATACCTCCCCTCCCAATAAGTGTTAGCAAGCAGATTTGTCTTTTGAAATGCTGTCGATCAATCTAGTTTGAAATTAGAACGTGCAGCATTCTTTTCCCAATACACTTTCAAAGTTTAAGCGACTCGTTCACATGGTCACTAGATGGGATCACCTCAGAAGAGACTTCTTTTTCATGATTCGTTGTAGACGGCTTGACTTTCGTTGCAGAATCAGCTTCTTTCTCGCACACTGCATCTAGTTGTTCCGTTTTATCCGTTTCGTGCGATTTGGTTTTTTCCAAACCCAATTTTCCTTTTATATTTTGGAACGTATTGTCAAACGATGGTAAGCTTGGAAGATGAAATTCTGATTCCTTCTTTTCCGATGATGTCGCAGTTTCAGATTCACCGGCAGCTGCTTTTTCGTCTGTAGTGCCAGATTTCTCAGTATCACTTGTCTTCTTTTCTTCCATTCCCAATTTACCTTTAATGTTTTGCAATGTGTCATCCAAAGACGAAATGAAATTGAGATGAAATCCCGACTCTTTTTTCTCCGATGAAGCGGTCGTCGCTGGTGGGCGGGCCGTTGGTTTTTCGGGTTCAACGGCAGCAGNGAGCCACTGGCCTCATCGAACGTAAAAACTTTCGTCCGCGTAGATTCTACGTCAATATGCGATTTCACCACAATCGAGGCCGGTCCAGCAGTCAGAATAATTTTATTCAACGAGGAAGGTATCTGTTTTTCGCTGAATTCTTTATTTTCTGTCGGGTCCGTAATGACAACTCCTTTGGACCCCACAACTCGACTATCAAATGAATGCATTATGAACGGTTTTAATCTGAATTGAAAAGAAAATGCATAGTTAGTTTTCAAAGAAAATAAGAAAATGGTTGATCACCAGCAATACTTTTATCATATCATCATGTATCTTATTCTTTAGGGAAACACGTTTGATCTTTAATACACTTCACCATTTTTTTATTCGTATCTCATCGCTTGTATCTCCAAACACATTGCAGTTGAGACCTTTTACAGTCGTTTAGCTATATGTGGCATATTGATTCTAATTACCAAAATCAACGCTCCCTATGCACACAATAGATGTGAATAGTAAAAACATGAAATTCGAAAATGAATTGTAGCGAGGATGGTGGTTTCGACAAAAGGAAGCTTTAGAAATAGAATAAGATACGTGTTGATAGGTATCGATCTCAACAGTATGTGCTATCATTTAAGGATGAAATGAATAACCTGGAAGCTTAACAAGACACTGTAGACTCTGGCATAGTAAAAATCAAGAAAACGTCAGATAATGAAAATAATTTTATTATAGCGTTCCACACCATGCAAATCTTATACTTATTGGATTTAGGCACACATAAGAAGCTTAAACAAATTGAATTCTACATAATTCGTATTCATGAATACAAAACCTTAGAAAATAGATTGCAGCAGAGATGGATGGCTCTATATTTCTCAAGCTCACTAGATTATGCACAACCAACAATAGAGACAAAAGTATTAAAAAAAAAGATATCTGTTTTCACAGCAATGTTGGTACGATGAGCATATTCTAAAGATCCCAGGAGTTTGTAGCAGATGACTTAACATGATAAATAGATATTATAGAATGTTTGTTTATTGCTTGGTTTATGTTACTTTTATTCATTTCACGATATTTTCTACTACAATATGTGATAGGGAACACGTGGGTCTTCAAAAGTTCTATATGCTATCGTAATTTCAAAAAGGAGGACGTAAAATGTCAAGGGGAGATTCACTAGCAAAACAAATTGACTAAAGTGTCAAAGTCAAACCATGCTATCGTTGTTGGATAAGTATCAATCTGTGATCAAAGTTCTTGCTTCTGTTGTTGAATTCTTGTCATCGGTCTGTGGATGTATTGCTGGAGATTTTGGAGATTTCATCTCTGTTGAAGATTTGTTGCCTTGACGTGACTCTGAATTCTTATCATCTTTGGTCGAGCTGTCAGATGAGCGAGTTAGCGTATGTAAGCCTCTTACGTCCTTATTAACATTGTTAGGCACTGATGAAGTCTGCCTTTTCTCGGCTGCTTCTTTTCTTCCAGTTGATGTTGATAGTTCATCTTCTTTGCGAGCTGGGTCTTTCTTTTCTGCATCGCCACTAAGGACTTCTTTGACTTCGGACACAATGCTTTCCATGGAAGGTATTCTGAACAACTTTTCACCTGTTTTCGTAGGTGTCGGGGTCGAAGTAGCCGACTTCCATAATCCCTTTTGAACATTTGGCGATTCTAATCCTTGTCGTTTAATCATGCCTGACTTTTGCGTAGAGTCTAACTCATGTTCATCACTATTAGAGCCACTGGCCTCATCGAACGTAAAAACTTTCGTCCGCGTAGATTCTACGTCAATATGCGATTTCACCACAATCGAGGCCGGTCCAGCAGTCAGAATAATTTTATTCAACGAGGAAGGTATCTGTTTTTCGCTGAATTCTTTATTTTCTGTCGGGTCCGTAATGACAACTCCTTTGGACCCCACAACTCGACTATCAAATGAATGCATTATGAACGGTTGAATACCAGTTTGTTTCTTCGGTGCATTATTACTTGCTTCCGTATCAACAATGCCTTTTGTTGCAGCAGTGGAATCCAAATTGCTTTGATTTGCAGTACTGTCCTTTCTCGCAACCCCAGCAGATGATTCCTTGCTTTTTTCACTTGTGCTCTGTGGATAACTAATTCCGATAGCATGAAATCCAGGAACAGATTTCTCTATCGTTCTATCGACTGAGGATGATTCTTGTCCTGTGTCAGATTTTTCTTTTTCTTCTACTGTTTCGATGCGAAGGACTTCTTTGATTTCGTCAACTGTTCTCTCAATGAAAGATTTCTTACGAGATTTTCTTCCTTTTTCATTTTGTAGTGTGTTGTTAGAAGCTTTCTCATCGACTGTTGCTGCCTCCGCAGCTGTTGCCACGCTATCATTAGGTTCTGTCGCATCTTCCTTCTTCTTTGAATCGATGCCAAATGTATCCTTGATTTTGTTCATCGTATTATCCAGCAAAAGTATCGCAGGCATATGAAATCCATCTTCTTTCTGTGGTGTTTTTTCAGCTGCAGCGACTTCAATTGTGCCTGCTAATGTGGTCGGTGTGACAATTTCGGTTAATTTTGTAGCTTCTTCCTTCTTTTTTGAATCGATGCCTAGTGTATCCTTGATTTTCTCCATGGTATTATCAAAAGAAAGTAAAACGGGTAGTTGAAATACACCTTGTTTCTTCGTTTGATCACTAATGGGTACAGGTGCAATATCTATGTTTTCATCACTGGGAGACAAACGATTCTCCTCTTCATTCACTAGTTCATTCTTTGTCGAATCCGTCGCAGAAATGACTTTGTTCTCTTCGGGTGTGAGATATGAAGACGTTAAACTGGGTGACACTGGTGCATGTGTACTAGATTGTGCGGTCGCTGCTGAATCAGGCGCGGCATTTACCATCGTTATATCGGACGAGGACGGTTCTTGCTCTTTGTCAGATTTATCTTTAGCTTCCGATGTTTCAATCTGAAGAATTTCTTTAATTTCTGCTACTGTTCTATCCATAAATGATTTTTTAGAAGGTACCACTACTCCGTTTTTCGTTGGTGGTTTGTCAACAGCATCGGTATCCGTACTTGGCGTTACAGCAGTTGTGACGACTGTTTCGTCTGGTTTTATCTCAATTTCCTTTATTTTTTCGATCGTATTATCAATAGAAAGTATCATAGGCATTTGAAATTCACTTCCGGTCTGTGGGGTTTTGTCAGCAGCTACAGTTTCTGTTGTTCCTCCAGTTATAGTCATCTGCGTGGCATGAGTGGGTTCTGTCAAACCATCTTTCATCTGTGAATCGATACCTAAAGCTTCTGTGATTTTATCCATTTTATTATCTATTGAAATTAACAGCGGCAACTGAAATCCACTTTCTTTCTTTGGCGTTTCTATGGTGGGCGCTGGTACAACAACTGAGTTTGCTCCAGTCGGAGATGAAAGCTTCTCCTCTTGTTGAACTGGATCGTTCTTTTTCGAATCTAACGTAGATTGGTCTCCGCTTTCATCTGGCGTGCTTTGTGAAGAAGTTAGCGTAGGTTGTTGTGAGCCAAATGTACTATGTTGGACAGGCGCGGTTGGCTCAGTGGCAGTCTTTTTTATCATGTTATCGGTTGAGGGTGATGTTTCTTCTGTTCGTTCCGGCGTTTTAGTTTGAAGAACTTGTGTAATTTCTGCAATTGTTTGGTTCATAAATGACTTTTTCGGTAGTGACAATGTTTCTTTTGTGGTCGACCTGATAATAATGGTTTCTGGTGGAATTTGTGTTTTAAGTGTATTAACTGAGACTTGTTTTCGCTGATCAGCCGTACTGTTGATGTTGGAGGGATTTTCTCTTTGGTAATCTTCAACATTCTCTACCTCATTATTATTCAACGAACTGATTGCAGGCAGTTGTGTGTTTTTTTCTTGGTTTGCTGTTAGTACTGTCTCGGGCGATTTAACACCTCCTTCAGTTAAAAATGTAGATTCCGGTACTTGGCTGCCCAAAATGTTTTGTTTCTTTGTGGAATCAATCCGCAACGGCACCTCGTTGACTCCAATTATTGTATCGACAGGTGAAATTTCATCTGCATCCAATTGACTTTGTTTTGTTGTAGAAGCCGGGTGGGAATTTCGAATATTGTCTTTATTGTCATCAGACAATTGGTTATTCTGTCGTTGCGTAATTTCTGTGGGGCTAGTTTCCTCTATTTTACGCGTTTTCTTCACTGAATCACTGGCGCTATCGGTAACTAATACTGGAAGAGTTTGGAGATTTTCGGGTTCTGTTGAAACGTCAGTTGATTCATTTTGTGAAGTATTTGATATGCTTCCATCTAATGTTGCTGGTGTTGTCGGTTTAATAGCAATTCTTTTCTTGATCGTAATCAGATCTTTAATGCTGCCAACGGGAACTCTTGTATTTTCATCATATGGGATTTTAGACGCCTGCAATTCTTGCACGCTCTGTGACGTACTCATATTTGTCGCATGTAAGATGTTCTGCTGATCAGTATCTGAGGAATCCACTGTGTTCAACTTTTCAGTGTCTACTTGCTGCGCTCCTTCAGTAATTGGTGTCTCTTTGTTTGTTGAAATTTCACTTCCAACTGATGAGATGGTGACGAGAGGAAAATCTTCTACTTTGTCTCCTGCTTTAGTGTTTGGTTCCTGCTCGATGTTAATTTGGCTTGTATTTATCGATAAAGGTTGCTGGTGTTGATCTGTTAATTCTCGCTTTGTCTCATTCAATATTAATGACTCTTGAGGTTGCTCCTGTGGTAGGCTAGAAGAGAAAATTTTCATTCGAGCCAACAATTCTGCGCTTTCTGACTCGGTCTCCATTCTGTCTGCTTCGAGTGTTGCATCTTTTACTGCTGAATCATCTGATAAAGCTATTTCCGGTTCGTCTGTATATGGGTCCTTACTCAATTCATCTGAATCCGTCTGATTTGTGTCTGTGCCAATCGTAGTATACAATGAATCTTGGTTCTTGCCATGTGAATCGTCATCTTTCTCCAAAAGCTCTGGATCTTGTGCGGATTTCTTTCTGTCATTATTATTGTCGATGGAGGATAAATTTAGTTGGTTTGAGTCGGATAGAATTTCAGATTGTTCTGTGCCATTGGTTTCTACCAAAGGTAGCGATGAATATGCTCCCACCTGTTGTATGTGCTCATTTTGTTGCGTGATTTCAGGTATCTTATTTTGTAAAATTCGTTCATTCGTAAAACTGATCGAACTGGCTTCTACGAGTGTAGTTTCTTGTTTGTGTTTGGACTTTGGAGTCTCCATGATACCCATTACTGGTAGAACTGCAGTGTCAAAAATATATGACTTCTTCTGCTTCATATCTTGTTTGTTGTTATATTCAGAGATAGGTGAACTTTCTACTGGGATTAGGATGCCAGCGTTCGAAGAGTTTTTCTGAATATTATTTTGTTTATCGTTCGTCTCATTTGTTGCATCAAAATTTGATTGAATTGGCAAATCTATTGATGGAATTTCTTCATTACCTTTGTTATCACTGGGAGCAGGTGACATAGGTATTATGCCATTATCTTCCTTGTCTTGCTCAGCAATTAAAGTTGTCGATTGGGCTTCATTGTTTAGTTCGGATGGAGTTGTAGATAAGGTTTTATTGTCACCTAATGTTGCATTCAGATCGTTGATAGCTGGTTCTGAACTTACTTCATTTGTTACTGGAGTTATGTTAGTATCTGTGGTTTTATTATCATGCAATTTTTCTTCAACCTCATTCTTTGCTAATCGTTCTTGATCTGTTAATTTTGGTTCAAATACAAGAGAACTTGATAAACTACGGTTCTCAGTTCTCAGTTGGTTCTCATCTATCACAGGAGTTTGTTTGGATAAAATATTTTCTTCGAGTCGATTCATACAGACAGGTTTAATGTCTTCGACTGTTTCATTCTTCTGACTTACAGGAGCGACAACAGAGCAAAGCTCTGCATCAGCGGACTTGTGTTCCTTATTAGATGTAGTAAGAGATGGCGGAACTTCTAAGTCAGCTGCCTTTAATGGTACTACCACACATTTATCACGATCAACATTTTCCACCTGATCATGAAGTGGCATTGTTACTTTGGATACCGATGCTATGCCTTCTGGTATCAATAACACTGCGTTACGAGTATCTTGTTTATTGAATTCATCAATTTGTTTAGGTTTTGTTATGCTTTGGGTTTTTGTTTCAATTGATTGATTTTTTGTTGGTTCCATCTGTTTTGCTTGCTGAAAATCATCACCTGTAGCATTTGATGGGATAGATTCAACTGGTGATCCCACCGGAGTAACAGATATCACTGAAGTATTCGGGGAGGCTTTCAAATCTTTATCGGTGTCAGATGATACAAATGATTGACTAGTTTCATCGTTGCGCTTAGGTGATTCATTGTGTTGGCCAGCAGTAGTCGATAGTTGAATCTTTTGGTCAACAGCCGTCGGTGATTGGAGATTTTTGTCAGCAGGCTTATGTAATTCGATCTTTTGATCAGTGGGCATAGTTTTTTGAATTTTCTGGTCAGTAAGCGTAGTTGGTTGAATCTTTTGATTAGTTAACGAAAGTGATTGCGTAGGTATAGATGATTTCTGCTCTGTAGTTGCTGATGTCTGTAAATTTTTAGCTACCATCGGAGTTCTAGTTTCTATGATGGGGTCAGATGGTAATACGTTTGCTGTTGTAATATTTTGATGAATTCCATCTTTATCGACTGATTCTACCATTGGGTTTGCTTTTTGAGCCGCCTCATTCAGCTGCAGGGAAGGAGTTACTTCGAGAAGAACAGATTTAGGAGCTAACCGTAAATAATCGCCGGTCAAAGTTGCATACAATCGACTTAAACCAACGCGTAGTGGCATGATTTCAGCAAGAACCACCGTTGTATTTTTCGATAATAGGGGTTCCCTTTAAACAAAAATTTGCTTTTCTTTCATTGAATAGTACGAAGATTTTTTGCTTACTTCATCGGAATAGATCGTGATATACCAAAGCCATCTAATGTAACCTTGACATTCTTCAACGGGCAAGGAAAAGAATTGTTTATTTTAATCTGAAGTTTTGCTGGTTGGCCGTATTCGATAACATCGTTGTCAAAAACCTTGAAAAAAAAGTTTTACTCATCTAATAATTTGTCTCCCTTACCAATTGCATGATATCATCTTGTGCACTGATGATATATTTCTCATGTTGATATATTTGTCCCGTCTCTCTAACGATTACACTGGTGTACAATTTGAGTAAACTATCAAAGCATCCTGTCCACATTTGATTGTTTTCTGCTACCTTCATTGGTATGACCTTATCTAAAGTTGATGCTCGATGTAATGATCCATCATATATTCAACTCACGTTCATTCACATTTAGCTGAAAATCTTGAACACTAGATTGAACTGGAGTTTGTAGACTTGTGTTAATGCCTGCTGGATTTGTGCTTTGAGCAACATGTAGATCCTGATGTTGTTTGTCCGAGTTTGGTTTTATTTCAAGAGTAGAACTAAGTTTTATCAATTTCAAAGCGACAACTAATGTACGAGGTTCATTGGACAGATTGTTTGCTTTGAGAATTATATGGAGATCATCACCAAGCTACAAATATATGTACAGACGTAAATAAAACTGTAGTTCAGAGAAATAGTTTACTTTCAAAGTTTGAGAAATTTCCATATCAATATGAACATCATGATGTGGTTGTATTTGACCAGTACCTATTAAAATTGTAGATACCAGAATAGAAAAGGAGAAAAAACAAATTTTCCTTCGAAGTACTTTTCTCGAATTTGTAATTGTTTGTAATATCGTCATATTCATTTTCTTTATTCAAAGATTTTGTAACAACTTTTGTATCAGTCACATTTTTTTCCATCTCTATGAAATACAACAATAAAATAAAGCATTCACTTTTTATACGAAATTATCAGACTATTGTATTAAAAGGCATACGTAAGTATGGGCTGTTTATAGAATCTTTCGGAGTTCGATTCATACGAGAATGCATTCACATTTAGTTTTTATTATGAATTTCGATGGATTCAAAAGTAAATTCTTACTTATTAACTTTTTATTTCCATCCGGATAAACAAGCCAATGGCTTCTATTAGCGTTTAGTACATTATAAATATTTGGCGTATCCCATTTCAAAGTTAACGAGCCAGACTTCAATGCTGCAACCGAACACGGACCAATAAGTCGAATTTCTAAATCATAGGAGATTTTTTATCGTGAAAAATACTTCATAATTTTCATTTACTTGTATTATAATCGATAGCAGATGAGTCTACTACTTGCCAACCAGAATTCTGTGCTGGTATATCATCTCGACGCATCCAACATTCATTCCACAAATACCAAGGTCTATCATTAAACATCCAATAAAATCCAATAGAAATTTGTCATTACTCACCGAGTTACTTTCTTGTTCACTACCACAATAGGTCGTTGCCCTGTATTCCAATGTAAATTAATATTTTCTTTTTCTTGTGCTTCACAAGTTGCATTATAAACAGTAACAATACGGGATGGAATACCTAGTGATCGGCATAGACTACAAAATACGGCAGCGTGTTGCCAATTACTGCCACTACCACCTTGAACCGATTGGCCATTTGATAGCAAATACTGTTTTAAAATAACTGGACTACTTGTATATCCATTTTCTTGATGTGATGACGAAGGTTTATCCGATGATGGTGGAAATATACCATCGTTTGCTCCAGGATCTGAACAGATGTTCGATGCAAGAAGACGAAGCATTAAAGATATATCAATACGAGATTCAGTTGGTAAGCTTGTTTTATTAAGAAGACTCAGAGCTGTAAGTAAAACATCTCTGTCAAATTGACCAAAATACCATGGTATCGATCGAGGAATTTCAGAAGAACCAAGATAGATTTGTCCATGTTCATTGAAGGCATATTCTGTAATTTGATCCGCTGATAGCAGCCCACATGCATCGCTTTTGTTCCATGGATTAAATAGAATATATATATCGGCGTGGAATTGAAACACCAAGAGATCATGGGTATTGATCGAATCTTTGTTCATTGGACAAACTTCTAGTGAAAGCTGTCAATAAAGAAAGAAATTAATATGGTAAGAATATTTTCAGTTGGACACCACCGCTAAAAATTAAGCATTTTCCCTATAAAAATGTGCTTCTTTTAGTTTTCAAAAAAATAACTTTCTCTATGCAAGATTAGCCCGTCTAAAGCATATGAGTTCTGCATAGTTCCTTTTGAGATAAATGCAAATTTGCCTTTTTCATTGTAAAAAATGCAGATTATTACGCGTTAAAATAAACTCTTGGTTGTCTGAATTGTGCCCTATACGTACAGAATATTTTCCAATAGTAGCATCACATGGAGAACAGATTTGAAAATAAACACAATTATTCTCCTGATCTTTTGTAGATAATCTTTTTGCTGACCATCCATTTGAGGAACCGTTTAATGGAATTTTCACACGGGGAAAATTCTGCCATGTTTGAGACTTGAAAATAAATGACAAATTATATTTATCGACAGGTAAATCTTGATTAAATGTTATGGTAAATGAAAATGGTTGGCCTCGTCGAAGTACTAGTCCTTGAATATCATAATAAATTGTGGAATGCTCGCCCATGTTTTTTTTCAAATTCATGTCAATGTCGATAGGAATCATTTTTGTTGCTAAAAATAGAAATTTTCCAATCACAACTAAGAAAAAAACTAATAGAAATAAATTTCCTATTCACAAATTACACAGAAAATGTTTTTTTTTAAGGCTTTAGATATTGGTTACACAAGTTTGTTTCTTATTATGGGACGTGACCTCGAAATCAATGAATAGAAAAGCTCAAATATAGTATCGTAATTTTATCATAGAATTAGCAGAACTGTTCATTTTTTAAACGGAAATTATCTTTGCAATAGCTAATTAGTACACATGAATCATACTAACATCACATAGAATGGAGGATTCACAGGAAACCTAGAATTTATTGGCGTACGATGAAAAATTGAATGCTCAGTGTGAGTGTCTTTCGATTAAGAGAGAAAACGAAAACAAATTCCATTATAAACCAAATATATATTAAAATACAACTATTAATTAGACAAGCTCAAGTAAAGCAAAAGCTTTTTTTTTCTAAAGTATACAGTTAAATCTTTTAGATTCTTCTCTCGTGAAAAATATATTTTATGCAAGTCAAACAAGAAACAATAACATAACAAAAAAGAAAAACTAGTGACATATTCTCAAAATGAAAATAAAAGCAAACAAATCTAAATAAATTTCATTCTCAACACTCAACTATCAAACAGAAATTTCAAAAAAAAATAGAGCCGCTAACATGCTTAAATAAACTGAAGAATATTTTTATTCACTCAATATTTTTTGATAAAACGATTTATATATACACGTCTTTATCTTTCGTCATAATAAATTCAAGGTAGCAACTCAGGATTCAATCATAATAAATTGTATAGATAAAAGTAATAGATTTTATATTATCTTACCCATCTCAGATGCATCAAATTTCGACTGGTTTTCTTGTGTAACAAGTCTAAACTAACGACGTTTTAATCTTCTGCCATTGTTTTACTAAAATTTTAGACGATTAATATTTATTTGACTTACGGCGTGGAAGAGTTTTGAATAAATTTATTATTAGGAGTTCGTATATTCGAAGAAAAAGGTAAATAAATCTTATTCTGAGGATCAGCGAATTGTTGAAAATGATGCGTATCACCCTGCATAGAATCCTTCTGGTCATACATTTATTTCATAGTAAGACTAACATGTTTATATAATCATTTTATTTTATCTCTTGTGATGTCATGCGTGACGACGCCAACCGAAATGATTAATTGCAATATCATACGAAAAAAAAATAAGAGAAAAAAAGATACCTTGACACTGGCTACGTATTGGCTTTACCTCGATATGCATATGTTTAAAAATACCGTGAGGAAAACTAAAATGTATTCTAAGTTGAATTCATCTTTAAAAAATATGTTATTGAAATATCCTACAGATGTATCTTCAAGTAAAGTTATAGCTCTACTTTTGAATATACCACAATCGAATATTCATTTTTTGTTCGGATAGTATAATTTATCTCGTTTAAGTCTCATTGTTTACTGAAGTGATATAGTAGACATGATAAATATTTGCAGCTTATATATAATGATCGAATTAATTAAAATATCATTCAGTTGAGCTCACCTCTTTTTTTCTATTTTAAGAGCACATATAATAAGAGTTTGAAGTAATTCTTGTTTTCGCATTTTTTTAAAATGTTTTGTCAATGCAATTGCAGATCGATTGATGAATGAGTAACGAGCATCGAAATAAATCAGCATGAATACAATCATTATGTGATTGTTGAAATGCTTGTCTGATTGGAAACTACGATTTTAATGGGTTAAATTGTGGATATTAGAATCATGGATTCGTTAGAAGTCTTTGCAACAACACTTACTCGCAAAAAAAAGTATTATTATTCAAGTTAAGATAAATATCAAAAGGCGAATTGAATTAATTCTTTTACTGTTATCATATTTATTATAGAAGTATCGTCATATAAAAAAAAAAGAATCAATACGTTAGCTGTTCGAAACAAAATACGCTTGTGTTGTAAAGGGACAGGCCAAATTCTAATTTTATTTGAACAATTCAGGGCCCGAACCGACTTTCATGTGCTATCAGAATTTCTAAATGTAGTTCCTTCTTCTACTTAAGTTTACATTTTTTTCGCGAGAATATTTATATTTTAAATCAAAATTAAAAACAAGGATAATTTTCTATGCATGAATTAGCATCTTATTCATTTTCGAATAGTTATTCTTATTTGACAGTCTCAGTGATTTTAGGAGTGTGTAATAGAAATATAATCGATAATGGCAATCATTATGTTTAGAAATTTTCATTCGACGCAATGGAAAACTAATTATGCTATCTGTTGATGGTAGATACTTTTTTTCAAAGTATTGTATACCATCGATACACGTTGTATTACGTTTCGATCGATATTTTTTCTCTAGATGACTTGTAGATATTAAATGGCCCTTCGTTTCCGATGAAGCATAACGATTTATTTTTACAAATCATAATGTTTACCGGTAAATCGTCTTGACAATGAATAGGCAATCAAACGTGGTTGTTCTATCACTTTACTATTTATTTAATTCGAGCGACTTAACCGAGAGAAAAAAACGTTTCAAGCTTCGAAAGTCATGACACTATATCATGATTACATCAATCGCATGAAAATTCTTTAACGAAACAATGAAAAGAATGTGGTATTTAGTTTTGACCCATCTAGTTTTGCGTTGTTTGTAAATAAGAAAATAAATGCATTTCTCTTCGAAACCAATAACCTCAATTGACAGCGATTTTAATAACCAATAGATCGTTGAAAAATAGCTATCTGAATATTTCTTACCTCTATAATTAAGGCATGTCATTATTTTGCTTTTTATATTTATTTTTGTTGACATCAAATTATCGAAAAATAAATAAATGCTCAGTGTGACTAATAGGACCAACACAATAGGGGTCTATTATTTTATTTTCAGTTTTGCGGCAGTCGACAGCCACATGAAGAAAGCTATTCATGAATCAAAAATGCTTTCATTTATACTTTACAGCATAGGGTAAAAAAATTAATTTAACATATCAACGTCGTTGCAATATTTTTTCCAAACAAATCGCTTCTGTGACTTTTATGAAAAAATAAATAAGAGAAAATCGATTATTCAGTAAAAATGTATAATCATGATTGATGCCATTCAACATGTGATCATTAATCAAAATTAAAAAATGCCTCCCATACTCTAATCATAATGCAATATTACGGTAAACTTGAATACATTTCATCACTATCAAGTTAAAATACCAACAAACTTCTAGCATGAAAACAGAAAAACTAAAAACTAAACGATTCGATGTATTATTTAAACATCAACGATGTATTGTACATGTAAAATAGTGAGAAAGAAATTGAAGCGAAGAAATTTATTCAAAAACTTGAAGATGACTTCTTAATTAATAAAGCAAGCATTGTAACAACGAAACAGATACCAGCAATAGTAGTAAAAATATTTATTGCTAAAGTTCTTTGTGAAAGTTTTAATGCTTTATCATACTCATTACTACGTTTACATTCACGAACACGTACAGATAAAATAATACAAATGACGCCTAAGACAAAAAACAGAAAGAAATTTCCAATCGACCAACATAAATAATCGGATATATTTATCAGATCACGTTCGTCTTGAATTGTTTTGCGATTTTTATGAGACAATTCAGCTGCGTGATAATCAGTGTCACTTTGTGGTAGCCACATGAAGCCAGCTCTTTTTTCTAAATACGGTTCTAGTTCATCGATTTCACGTTTTTCCATTCGTCCGACACCTCTAAAGAAACGAAAACGAATAAAAGTTAGTTTTTATTTTTGGAATACATTTTGTTTACTTCTCAATTCGATAACTAGTCAGTAATTGTTCGTTACGCATTTTTTTAAACGAATATCCGAATGATGAAATAATGTGAGAAGAGCTCTTTTGTGGTTAAAAATATCATTATGATAGTACTATATTAGTTTGTCTCGAAATAAAAAGAACAAATACACGCTGTCGCGAAAAATAGAGTTTTTTTGTGTGTTTCTTATTGACCTTAAAAGAAGATAAATTCTTTTGTTTGTAGCATAAAAAAGTATCGCTTCAGTTTTCTTTTTGTTGTATGACATTTACCTATATAGGAACAGTTATGGACTAGTGTAAAATAATGTTAAGTTTAATAAGACTAAGGAATGATGTGCACGGAGTTTTTTTTATCAAATTAGACGCACATTTTTCATATTAGATGTACCGGTTTATTTATATTTATAACGTAAGAAGTAGACTAGACCTCAAAGTGAAGTTTACTGATAAGAATATTATTATAAATTTTCGAGAAGTTCAGCTTATTCTATTGCTAGAACACATCGATAAATTTTTCTGTTTTACTTTATGGCCTTGAATTTCAAAAAGTGGAAAATTTTCAATAGTGTACTGCTCATAAAAATTCTTTTTCAAGTTTAACAAAAATCTATACTGTACTATTTCAAAGAATCTTTCTAATTTTTTGAAGTAATTTTCATATTACGACATACGGCATATTCGTCTAACTTAAGTGAAAATAAACGAGCGTATTACCGAATAAAAAATATGATTATTTTTTCATCTATTTATGACTTTGCTTAACATTACAAATATATTTAGATAACAAAATGCCACGCAGTCTAATAAATAGATAAATTCTGCATACATTAGGGTGATTCAATAAGAACTTCGGAAGGAATGTTTAATGCAACAAACAAAGTTCATTATTTAAGAGGTCGCTCATAAATCGACATCAAGGATTTTTCAACTATTGCATAAAACTCCTATTCGTTTAATTGAAAAAGAACTCGTGCTTTCGAAACTTACCCCGTCGTGCACACAAGAATACGTCGAACTGGTAATATTTAGGATAGATATTGACGCTTTTGGACTATCGTGCAAAACAAAACTATTCTTTTTGAAATTGAAATGCTTTCTCGTTGACTATATCAATGTCGATTTTCTATGAATTCAACTGAAAGCCGAATTCTATTTGCATTTACTCCGATTCATTATAATCCCATGATTAGATACGAAACGAATCACTGCGATGATTTCTTATTCAACATAAACTTTCATTTTACCTTTTCAATTGATTCTCTATCGTTTATGACACAACATGAATTGAACCAATAGATGACTCGTATCATCCGATGAACACTCTGTTCTCTTCATCTATTTTTCTCTCTTGTTGAGTACTGTTCATCGGGTCAAAATTGACATTTGATGAATGATAAGACTAATGGAGCAATGCTCTATTCAACGTTGTTCGCTTTCTTATTTGACATGCACTAGAGAGAAGAAAAAAAAATCCTAATCTGTTGAGAACTTTGTTTTTTAGTACTATGCCCCATAGTTCAAATGATAATGATATCACAATCCCCTTATTAAAAACATTAGCTTCGACGTTTAATATGATATAAGAAGGAAAACACAAATAACACGTTTTGATAATCCGTGAAAAATATTGAAAAAAAGAAAATAAAAGTTTGCACTATGCAAATTAAGATTCGTCATTTTGATTTATTGTCGACTCCGATATTCCATCGGCACCTTTGGGTGTTGCACTTGCGCCATTTTCAATGACAACATTCTCTTCAACATTTTGTGCTAACTCAGATACTGCTGCTGCTGTTGTTGTTGTCGCTGGTGGTCGTTGTCCTTTTTGTCCAGATCCCTTTTCTTTTTCTTGAAATGAAAAAGCAAAATGTTGTACATACAGAAAAAATTCTTCAGCCTATAACTATCATACGTACATCTACATACAAAATTTCTATTTTCTGGTAAAAAATAGTTTGATGTTCAGTGTTGCAAACGTAAGGTTTAATTCTATCTTCCTCCTAACGACTATCATTTAATGAACGCGAAATATAACTAATCATTTTCGAATGAAAATTAAACACAACTCAAGTTGAAATTATAAATAACGTTTTTTGTTGTTTTTTTTTATAAAACGAAAGCTCGAAAATAAAGAAATGAAAAATTTCATACACATTTGTTAGTTTATCTTTCGAAGAAAACTAAAAATTGAATCCCTATTATAAGAATCATTTTCCAGTTTCGCTCTTTTGCTATGTTTTTTACTTACTCTTTTTCTGTTGCACGGTTACTGGTGGTGGATAAGCATTCAAAACAATTGTTTTCATCTCTTCAGATTCGAATTCTTGTCGAATAGGCTGAAGTAGTCGATCAAGATATGCTGCAACGCCGTTCTTAAGATCACCTGGGTGCACTTCCTATCAAAATAAAAATCAATTGAAACCTACGTTCAAAATTTTTTCAAACTTGTTTAGCAAAAGCTTCTTCTAATTCTTCGTAATTACTAAACAACATTGGTCCGCCATATTGTTCGGATCGTGGAAGTACTAGTTCTTTACGACAAGAACAAAATGCCGTTATTTTCTATATTGTATCAATAAAATTTTATTTGACATACTTTCATCCTTGAGCAATGGGAAAATAACACTTTTACAAAATGCAAGTACACCATTAGTTTCAATATTTCCTGGTTCACAAAAAGCTTTCTTCAGTTTCTTTTTTATTTGATCAGCTGTATCAAGTAAATCGATTTTACTGTCTTCAACACTTGAGCTCATTTTATCACCAGCCAAACCAGGTACTAAATATTGAAATAATAATTACGAAATAGAATTCGAAACGACAGAGTTCTGCAAAGTAATTAGTGTCGTACGAACTACTCAAGAAAGTCTACTGGCGGATGAATTAGTCTGAATCGAGACCTAGTCTATCATTTATACCTCATTACGAAAATTTCGACTTTTTTCCTACTTTCATTCTGAGATCTTTCTGAAGGTGTGTTGAAACATCATGAAGTTGTTTTTATCTTTTGACCTGACTTAGTGAAATACTTGTTCTATTCATTTCAACTACTATCTAACTAATTCAATATAATCAATCTTTACCCATAGGATTCATTAGATGAATTCGTTTTGCATAGCCTAGACTTGGTAAATTCTAAATAAAATCAAGCACATATCAATATTATAGAGAGAAAACGAAGACGAAACAAACCTCTTCAGCAAATGTAAAAATTTTTCTCTGATCAACTCCACCAAATTGAGCATCAACTTTTAAGTATTCTTCATCTAGAGCCTAGATAACAAGAACAAAATCGACCGTGTTCCTATTGCTTTTTTTTCAATCAAACAACATACTTGAAGACCAGGATAGAGTAAACCACTGAGTAAAGCAGAAGCAACCTGTTTAACAACTTCTGCGCCAGCCTTTTTAGCATCATGTTCGGTAACAACAGATGATAAACGGTAAACATCGAGTGTATATTCACGAGATAATTGATAATCAGTTCCCCGAACAAATTTCAATTTCTCAAGTGGTACACCAATAGATTTCAGCATTGCTTTAATTATGTGCTCATAGTAAACAGTGCGATGCTTCAATAATTCCCACGGAGCTTTCATATTATCCAAGAAAGCATGAAGATCAGCAAAAAGTATTGTCACCTGAAACGTTCGATGCTTAAAAACTCTTGTTTACAACAAAATCTTACCTCACAACCAGCATGTAGAAAATCAGCTACTTTAGTCATTGGTACAAAGTAACCAATATGTGGTCGACCTGTTGTGGCCGTCCCCCAATAGAGACGAAGATCTCGTTCTTCCAAAATCTTTCGTAAACGATCATCGCCAAGAACCTCTTGAAGGTTACGTGTAATCAATGCATGTTTATCACTTGGTGATAGTGATGCTTCAGCCATTTTACTGTTTGAATTGAATACAAAAAGAATCTACAATAGGAAATCTATTTTAATAGCATTCGCTCTGCTGGTGCAATAGTAAAATAAATATTACTATTATGCATCATCGTTTTGTTCTGTTCTATCATGCTACATGCGGCATAAACTTGTCTCCTGAAAGAACGTTACATCAGTATGTTGCCTCATTCCCATAGCAATATGAGCAAGACATTTTATTCTATTGTGAAATTACCGAGGATTGATTTCAAAACATTTTTAGATATTGAAAAACAAAAATCGATTTGTTAATTTCTAAGGATTCATAATAGATGTACGATAGATATTTGTGCGAGTCGACCTTGTGAATCACATCGTTATTTTTCTATTTAAGCGCAATAGCCACTTGATGTGTATTCAATTAAAAATAAATTATACAAAGGATTTTAATGAGTACGAATAAGATTAGGTTAGAATGTTAATGTATGATGTTTAACATTCAATGTTCTTTTTTCTCTTGAGGATTTAAAAGAAAAGGATAAGAAAATCTACAGTTGGATGGTTGATATCAACTATCTAAAAACGCATGTTGAAAATATTATCATAATCATTTTAATCTCTTCTTACTTTTATTTTCTTTCTCTCTCACAGCTAAATGAATAACTATTAAAAAAATTGTTCAGCTTGAAAAATACAAAAATATCGGCTTCATATTTATTCCTATGTTGGCTTCTCTCATCGGCTGTTGAATGACACACTACCAATGATTCATTGGATATATATTTAAGCCATTGGATTTATCTATAGCAGTATCATACGATAAGCTTTTTTACCGTTATTGGAAGTCAGCATATTGCTAAGTGTATTCCGTTTCAAAAACAAGATAGAACATACACCAGTATAGAGGTGTAGAAAAGCCTAATGTGACGAAAAACATACAGCCATGTATATTTGAAAAAAAAAACAGAAATGATTAGTCAGTTAAAATATTTTTCGTTTTAAATAGGAAGATAACATACATGCTCATCAATCATCATGATTTTCCTTAATTGCGAATGAAAACGTTCGACGATTCAATAAAAGACTAGAATATTAATCATTATTTGAGAATCATATACTATTCTTTTCTTTAACATATCATTTGCATAAGACAAAAGGTAATTTTATAATACTTTTTTTCAGATCTAATTGAACATATTTATAGACCGTAGAATTTTCTATAAAAAAAAGAAGAAAATAAATAATGATATTTTAAAATATTCATCAGTGAAATAGGCCGAGATAGTATGACTTATCCACGCAATTTACATCTATCATAAAACAACATATAAAAAGTTCAAAATACCGGTGAAACTAATAATTTATCGCGTCTCTATTCAAAAATTAATATGTAGATTTTCTTTAGTAATTACAAGCACTTGTTAAGTGTGTGTAGGTTGCAGAGTTTCCTGCATGAAGGTTTTATTTCATAGTCTTTATCTTTCTGTGTAACGAAAAAAGCAGCTAAATATTAAAGTACTTTATTTCAATGCAACGAGAATGACATTCCTTTTACTGCTTAATTCTATAATTGTTACACCACTATGTTAGGATTCAGTTTAGTTGTAACTGTCAAACAAAAATCATATTGGCATTTTCATGAATTTCGAGGCATATTAGATTTTCTTCAAATAGATATTTTTGTTACAATCAAGAGATAAATTCATCATTTTGATGCATAGAGTTTGCCAATAGATAAAATAATCTTTTATTTAAGACACATAAAAATGAGTGAAGTTCATTTCCGTAGATAGAACAAGACCTACACTATTTTCTTCTGTGATATTTGATCAGTCTTCGTCTAATATCATAATAATCAAATTTACGATAAAAGCTTTTTGTTATGATATGTCACGGTAACATTAGCTCATATTGTGTTCGATCTGTACTGTCCTTTTACTGTTGCCTTTGAGTATGTGTTGGTATTCACTTTTCTCTCACTCCCACTCATGCAATACAGAACAAAAGAAAAATATACATCTAAGATAGTTATTGTCACATATCATAACAAAAGATCTTATCGAAATATACCTGTTATAGTTGAAGGATGATCAAATATCAATGTAGAATAGAACTTTTTTTTATTATTATCACAGAATATGAAAAGGAAAGTTTTCTTGAATGTTCTATGAGAAAGTATCATCATAACTACTTTCCGACTGTTTCAAGTACTATCCAGAATTTAATATGATTTTCTACTTTATTGGTTTGCTGATAAAATCATAACATTCGATTTTTCAAGTATGTTATCGTTCTTCTCTAGTTTAAATGTCACTATCTTGGCTTAGCCTTTGTATCTTTCATTTTGTGTATAGTATGTAACTACTAATAGTTTATCATGAAAGTTATCTACGAGCGTTAATTTTATCATAAGAGATAAATTTCTTTTATGTAGAACAATCAAGGTTCAATAGAAAATCAAAGATAAAGATGTGGGTGCGATAAATATATTTAACATATAAATGTCGTCTAGATTTGTATAACGGTTAAAAAAATGATAGAAACTAAGAACATAGAGGTTACTTCTATGAATAATATCAATTAGATAAAGATTTTAGATTCTATTAATCTGCTGTGTTAATTTTAACTCATATATACTTTTCTTCATTCTCTGACAGTACGGATTTTCAATTATGAAAATTGGTTATTTTCTAAAAACCAATTTATTATGGAAGGTAAAAGTTGTTTTTTTTTTCTTGATACTTATTCTAAATTGAAGATTTATTTAAATACATAAATAAAGAATAAATTTTTTACCGCGCTTATCATTATTTATTGAGATGCTCTTTCGTGAAAATGTATTTGATGTAACATGAAATTTTTAATATTCATTAATAATTTTATCAATAGAATGATCGTTTAATTTTTTTTTCCTACAAAAAAATAGATAAAAACTAGAATGAAACAAAAACAAATCTATGTCACAGTGAAATTATTCTAGTGCCTAAGAGATAACAGTGTGCTATAAGATTCCAAAAAGAAAATATCTGTTTTTCTTGTGTAATGTTTCTAGGGTTAACTTAATTAAATGAATAGGTTTTATCGTACTACATTCAACATTAAGAAATTTTTCTTCAAAAAGGTTACAATATTTGGGATACCGGTATAGGATGCGCACAACCCTCTCGTCGAAACAAAACTGGTTGACGTTGAAAATTAGAGCGATTGGTGAACGATTCAAGTGATCAGCGAATAGAGTACGCGTACTTTGGGCATGAATGATATACCGTTAGAAAGTATCATTAGAATTAGGCTGTTTGGCATAAATCCAATATCAAACTTTTCTGTTTTCTCCACGTCCTTCTTTTTTCCTCTGTATCATTGGTAAATCCTGGACAACCAATAGTTGCATTCGAGCCATATGAGCGACAAATAAAGCGAAACTATTGTTTTTTTGCCAAGAAAACAATAAAATAAATGATTAGTTTACATAAAGTGACCTAAATATCTAATATTTTCTTTTTCAGCCATTTTTTTATTATTTTTTGTTCGTTGTCTAACAAGAAATAAACACATCCAATGTGTATGTTTGTTTGTTTCGATGTGCACTATCACGCTCAAGCACGGTTTCCAAGTTGTGCGCATGTTTGATTGCTTTTTTTTTATTATTGTGTTGTATCTTACCCATACTTACATACATAAATGCAAAACGAGGGTGAATACAAGAAAGAACGAAATGAAATGGAGAGAGAGAGAGGGAGGGAGAGTGAAAAAGAAATCGAATACATCGAACAAACCAAGGTCTCCTTCGCTATGTATGTATATCTGTATTTCGCTCTGTATTCTACCTCGTCGGCTTTATTCGTTATGATTATCATTTTGTATATTATAGACGAAAAGCGAAATGAACGATATAGACAATAGAATAGAATGCAATCTTATCTCGTCTATGTTAGCGAATCATCGTGCTAGAAGAAAATCACGAAAGACATCTAGAGTGAAGGACATTGTATACCATAGGTTATCCAGGGGAACAGCTGAGTGTATAAATAGTGAAGATTTACATTTTGTCTACCTTTCTTCCGCTTTTAATTTCATTTATTTTAGTCACACAGGTTGATATCTTTATTCTATGTGTAAATCAGGTATTTTTAATATTATATCATCAAAATCGAAACGAGTATATGAATCACGTGCAAACGACAAATAGAAAAATAGCTGATAAATTTTTTAAACATTTTTTCTTCTATTTTTCTAGATTTTGAGTGAGTAAGGGAGTAAAATTGGCTAAACTCCTCAAAATACAAATCGGAAAATTATGTCCGCCATGACGATGACAAACGGTGGCAGCAATAATACAAATCCTAATGGAGCTAATGATCCACTAGATAGTTTTAATCTTTTTCATAATCGAACTCCTGTTTGGTCAACATTAAATCCATCAGGATCTGATCACTATTGGAACGAATCGTTAATTTCACCATCTCATCGTCCATGGTCATCAGAGTCCTTCGGTACAGATATCGGTGGAGATGAATTACCTTATCCAAGACAATTAAATCCTCATCAAAATCATGATTTTAGCCCATTACCATCATCACCGGCAAATCTATTAAATGGTACTAATCATCATATAAGTCAAACAGGGCGTTTTCAATTTCCAAACGACTCATCATCATCACCTTATTGTTCTCAGCAGTTACCTCTAATATCATCATGCTTTAATGATTCATTATATGATCCATCACCATCATCAACATCAAATCTATTCTCAAATGAACTCGATCGTCGTAGCATTAACCATAACAATAATAGCAACAACAACAACAACAACAATAATAATAATAATCTACTTGGTACTCGCCAGTCGTTGGATAGTCAAAAATTAAGTTTAGATCAAATGGTTAATCGTTTCAATGATCTACAATTACAACCGCCATCATCGTCGTCGTCATCATCGTTTCCGAATTCATTTTTATCGCAAGCAACAAATGATCAGCAACAATTATTATCACCATTCTATTATCAACCATCATCGCCATTTACGAATCATTTGTACATGAATTCATCATCACAATATCAACAAAATGGTCCACCACATTCATTACCAAATTCGGCAACAACATCAAATATGTTCAATGATCGTTATGATCATAACGATGGTTATTTACCATTTTCGAATAATTCATCATATTTATCGAATATGCGTTTTTCACCCAATCAAGCTTATCGTACAACAAAAAGTGGTAAGCAACAAATTGGGCCTGAAAATTCAAATTTATTCATATGCCATTTACCGCAAGAAACAACGGATCAATCATTAATGAATTTATTTTCACAATTTGGTACTGTTTTATCGGCGAAGGTCAATATTGATTATTTATTTATGTATCTATAAAATTATTCTCATTTTCATTGTTTCCATTAGGTATTTGTTGATAAAAAAACGAATCAATCGAAATGTTTCGGTTTTGTTTCATTTGATAATCCTTCATCAGCACAACAAGGTAATTATTTATTTATACATAGAGAATTCAATGAAACTGCAGTATTTAATTAGCTAAGTGACGGCAAAGAAATTCTATTTCTTTTTATTCTGTAGTTTAAAATCATTGTTTGTCTTTTGAGAAATAGCTGGAAGTAATTCATTACTTTTTTTTTTTGATTTTACATGTCTTGTCAAGGCTTTTTCATTTCATTGCATTCAACAATTGATAGATTTGAATTTTTAAACGTGAAGACCCCCAACTGAGCAACAAGACGTTTTTAGAAAGCATGACAATTTTAGTCAGTTTTCAGCATCGTTTGGATGGAATTTCTGATTAAAATCTCATGGTTATATTGTCATTTTGTTCTTATTTGTTAAAAATCTATACAAATACGGATAAGTTGAAAAAATAGTTTCTTCGCATGGTAAAATTATACTATCACATCGATGTTTAAATGCTAAAAAAATGATATCGTTTCTAAGTAGCACTCGAAGAGTTTCTTGAAGAAGAACATATTTATTGTAGTAAGCTATTTTTAGCTGATTTGACGGAATTAAGAGTATTAGCCGGCATTTGACGGCGACAACAAATCATACTAAGAGAATTGAAGAACAAAAGAATTTTTATTAAACGCATTTCTTCAAAAATTGAAATAATAACGATGAAATACATTGAATCGATCATTTAACTCTACGCGATAATTTTCATGTGTCAGTCATTTCTTTACAAATTTATTAAATAGAAACTTCCTGTGTGCAATATTGGCTGATTTTTTAGAGAGTTTCTTGATTAAACACAAAATATTGCCATTCTTTCTTTTAGCTATATTAAGCATGGATGGATTTAGTGTAGGTCCAAAACGGCTGAAGGTCGAATTGAAAAAGCCCCGTCGTAATTCATAGTATGACAAAGACAAAAAGATTCGATTTGATGAAAGAACAGTAAGAACATCGTGTTATATCTTGTTTGCTAAAAGATCTGTTTATGTGAGTATATGTTTTAACTGTCTATTTCTCGTTTTTTTTTCATTACTATTGTTTGTTTGTTTCCCTGCGAAAAGGAAGAAATCGAACCTATATACTTTCGTTTTGTTTGTGTGTTTCTCAAAGAGACTTGTTCGATGTGTGTTCAGTAAAAAAAAAGGAGGCGAAAGAATTAAGAAGATGGAATTTCCTGTATGTTTAAGCTTTCGAATTATCTGTCGACTTTTTCTTTCTGTTTTTTTTGTGAGTTTATGCTGTGTTTTTTTTATGCCGCCGTCTGTTTCTCTATTTATTTATTAAGCGATTTTGTGTATGTATCAGCTTTTATTATCTGCTGCGTGTTTGCGTATAGTTCATTCATTTTATTTTGTTTCTTCTTTCGTTCATTAAACCCCCTTTAATTTATTCACAACTAAAAGAAAAAAACGTTTTTTTTTGTGTGTGTGCTTATATCTACACGGTTGTTGTGTGTGCATTTCGTTGGGTTCTGGATGGCTATGTTTTTTCTTCTTTTTCTTTATATATCTGTGTGTATGTTTGTTGTGTGCTTATCATTGCCACCGAGAAAAAACAAACAACAAAGAAAAAAAATGCTCTTTTTTCATTTATTTTATTTGCAAATGGAAAAAAAATCGACAATATTTAGATGCTATTTAGTATTTTGTCTTTGAGAAGTAGCGTAGAATTAATATTCTTCACCATCATGACCAGCATCGGCTTGAGCTGTATCAGAGCCAACTTCAGCGTAATCTTTTTCCAGTGAAGCTAAATCTTCTCGAGCTTCGGTGAATTCACCTTCTTCCATACCTTCGCCAACATACCAATGTACAAAAGCTCGTTTTGCATACATCAAATCAAATTTATGATCGAGACGTGCCCAAGCTTCTGCAATAGCAGTTGTATTGGATATCATGCAAACAGCTCGAGGAACTTTAGCTACATCACCACCTAAATGCAAACATAAAATGAATATTGAACTTCAAAAATCGATTCGAATCGTTAGAATTAAAAAGTAAATAGAGATTTTTTGAGAATCGAACTATTCGCAGACCTGGCACAGCAATCGGAGGTTGATAGTTGATGCCGACTTTAAAACCAGTTGGACACCAATCAACAAATTGGATGGATCGTTTTGTTTTGATAGCTGATATAGCAGTATTAACATCTTTCGGTACCACATCACCACGATAAAGTAAACAACAAGCCATATATTTTCCATTGCGTGGATCACATTTAACCATTTGATTAACTGGCTCGAAACAAGCATTTGTTATATCTTGAACACTAAATTGTTCATGGGAAGCTTTTTCAGCTAAAATCAAAAATTCATAGTTTGCTTTTTGTCGTGTTAACTATTGACTTACCACTGCAAATAGGTGCATAGGTAACAAGAGGAAAATGTATACGTGGATAAGGTACGAGATTTGTTTGAAATTCTGTTAAATCAACATTTAGTGCGCCGTCAAAACGAAGTGATGCTGTTATAGATGAAACGATTTGTGCGATTAATCGATTTAAATTATTATAAGATGGACGTTCGACATTTAAATTACGACGACAGATATCATAAATAGCCTCTGAAAATAAAAATTTTTAAAAGACAGTATTAGAATTTATTTTACCATTATCAACCATAAAAGCACAATCAGTATGTTCTAAAGTGCAATGTGTTGTTAAAATTGAATTGTATGGTTCAACAACAGCAGTGGAAACCTATAGATTAGAATTTAGAGTAGAAGAACTTTGAAAAAATTTCTATGTTAATTAATTTACCTGAGGAGCTGGATAAATAGCAAATTCAAGTTTAGATTTTTTACCATAATCCAAACTCAATCGTTCCATTAGTAACGATGTAAAACCTGATCCTGTACCGCCTGAGAACGGAAGAAAACAATACTAATCATTTTTTTTCTTGAGGTTTTTTTTTAAATATTACTTGCCTCCAAAACTATGAAAGACAAGAAATCCTTGTAAACCTGTACATTGATCTGCAATTTTACGTAATTTTTCAAGTACAGTATCAATAATTTCTTTGCCAACTGTATAATGACCACGAGCATAATTATTTGCGGCATCTTCTTTGCCAGAAATTAATTGTTCAGGATGAAACAATTTAGCATATGGTCCTCGACGAATTTCGTCTAAATTATATGCATGGAAAAGAAATATTACTTCGTTCTCATCGTATTAATAATGAGATCGACACTCACCGATAACTGTTGGCTCAAGATCAACGAAAACAGCTCGAGGTACATATCGTCCAGTACCTAAAATTAACGTAAGAATTAATTTAGTTGTTTTTGTTTTCATGAGAAAAAAAATAGTTCTAACCTGTTTCACTAAAGAATGTACTGAATGAAGTTTCTTTGGAATCTATAGGAAGAAAAATTATTCTAACAACTAATAACTCTTTGAAATAAACCTGAGACAGATTCTAAAATACAAATATAAATTAGTTCGCATATAACCAATCATAGCTATCTTACTGATAATATGACTACTATCACGGTCTTTGCAAAATGTTCCATCTGGTTCAATACCATGTTCAAGACAATAAAGTTCCCAGCAAGCATTACCGATTTGAGTACCTATGATTATTTTTTTAAATAAAGGTTACTCATTCCTATCCGAAAATAAACAATTCTATTACCGGCTTGACCAACATGAATACTTATACATTCACGCTAGATAAGAAAACTTTTCGATTAAAATAAAACAACACATAAATACACAAATACACCCACCATTTTGATTATTACGCTTATTTATGATCAAATATGATATTCTTTGCTTGATTGCTTACACTAGCAACTGGATAGGACGAATGCTCTTAACATCATCGTTGTCTATGCTTTATGTACATGCATATTTTTTCTTCTCCTTTCTCATCACCTACATTTCTTTTTCTATCCGTCTCCTAATAATTTGCTTGGTTGCTTTTACAAAATAGTACGTGCTTATTAATAGACCATTCTTCTCATTCTTTTCTCTTTTTTTTTTATCCCTCACATACATACCAAAATGTCCGATGTGAAGACGAAAGAAAGAATCTCTAAATCAAAATCGATATCTGTTATATAAAATTTTTAGACATCGCATATTCAACAGACCGAAAAAAGGACGTTGCTTGTTAAAAAAAACACACACACGATAGATATACACGTAAAAAAAAGAACAACCGAATAAGGTGACAGAGAATATAACAAACAACACTCAAAAAAAAAAGAAACGATGACAACAAAGCTAGTGCACATAAGAGAGAAATTAACATAGACGAACAAAAAAAATGACCAGATCTATATAATAAACTGATGTTTCCTTTTCTTTTTTTTTCTTTACAGTCTCTCGTTATGCACAAGCATATATTCAAAATTCTCGATCTTCCAAAAATTTGTATTCAAATATAAAATTGTCACGTTTACGAGTTTGCCATCGTTCATAATCAAAAAATATATATGTACCCTAAACAAAACAAAAAAAAAGAAATATTTTCATTCAAAAAAAATTTTTCTACTTGTTCATAATCGTCCGTTATTGTTTTTGGTTCTTCATGTCGTTGAAACCACATCATATGTTTCGTATGAAAACGCCACGATTGACGTTTTAATGCTTTAGCTGCTAGATATTGCGCACGCGTACCCTATAAAGACTTAATTTAGCTTACTATACATAAATCCTGTGAGAAAAATACCTCCATGTAATAAAATACAAAGAATAATGTATCGGGTGCAAGTCGATAATAAAATTCTGGAGTATCACTACCCGTTGGTGGTGTTTGCGGATAATATGATATCATTTGTGATTGGCCAAGTAGACCTCGACCATAGATGCGATTCGAATTTGTTCTGAAATAAGAAAATCGATTGATTTATACTTTGAGATGTTTTTTATTCGAAATACCTTTGTCGTTCTGATTCAAGTAACGATGGTAGTTTAGCATACGCTGAATTTAATCTATTGAGCATACGCATTTCTGCCGGTGTCAATGATACACGACCTGTTGGTACGTTTTGTTGATGAATAATATTCGATGATAACATATAACGAAGTGAATGATGTTCAGGATTTAGTTGTATACCACTTGTTAATTGATTCATAATACTTCCATTCGATGATGGAAGATCTCCCATGTGCGTATTATTATTATTATTATTATTATTATTATTATTCGATAGAAATGCTGATGATGCTGGAATATTTGAAAACGCATTATCTAATAAGGAATGTCCATCTGAAGAACCATTACTTATTATTCCTGATGTTGTTGAACGATCATTTTCAGACATTGTACGATTCATTAACGATGATTGTTGAGATACAATAGCTGAATCCATTGAATTTAATGATGACGATTCTAGAGGAATGTTGCAATTGGATAGATTGGACCCTGTACCTGAATATAATGAGGATGGAATTGTTGTTGATGACGACGACGGCGAACTTATTTGAGATATATTATTGAGAATATGTTGCGATAATAATCCTGAAGAAATAAAAATAATTTGACTTAATTTGAATAAGAAAATCGATTTTTACCTGCTCGATCATTATTTGTTGATAATAATGAAGGTGGATGAGAACTATTGGATGAACTTGTAACTGTTGTTGTTACGGATGATATAGGTAGAGTTGATGCTGTCGTTACTATTGAATCATTTGTATTCGCTAGTGATCCGGTTCCATTTAGAATTTGTCTGGATTGTAATTTTGTTTGTGGAGAAAGTACATTTTGTTTAGATATTGTTGAATTACTACTAGTCGTTGTTGTTGAAGTTGATGGTACAGTATTTTGTGAAACAATAGCTGCATATTGAAGAACAGGTAATGTTGTCGGTGTTGTTGCTGGTGGTGTTCCAGGATACGCGAAATGTGGTGGTGCACTTGTTGAAAGTACTGGCGCTGACGATGGAACTAATGGTAATATTGTTTTAGTTATTGATGATAATGCACTGGGTGATTGTTGTTGAAGTTGAGAGAAAGTTTTTGGTGAAGGTGCATGTATTGATGGTGAGCTAGTTGCTCCTGAATTCGATCTAGATCATAGTATAGAAATTAGACTTTGGAGAAAAAATTATAAAAATTTTATTAACCTATTTCGTTGAGATTGATTATCTTCTGATTCAGATTTATTGCGTTTACGATCATCTGTTAAGGATAGAGCTGGGCTTGCACTTGGCGAACTCGCTTGGGTTGATAATGGTGTCGTAAGACCCATCATGGATTCATTATCACCGAGAATTGAATAAGCTCCAGTTGTACGATCCAATCTAATTGAGAAAAAAAAAGAGAAATCGGTCGTACTTTCGACGAGAAAATTCTTACGAATGATTCGATGATGAATTGATATTGATTGACGATGAACAAATATCTATATGACTTGATGCACTATTTGAATTTAAACTACTACTGCCATTTAATAACGACGAAGGATGAGATGGTGTCGGTACAGCTATCACTGGTGCCAATAATGTTGTTAGATTATCCATATCTATTTCTTCATACATTAATTCATTTTCTTTAAAATCTGAATCTTGATTAGACTCAACATAGTATTCAATATCCGCTCGTAAATTATGTATAGCTTTTAAATCTAATGCATCATTATTAATTGCACGAAGAATTTTTTCCAATGACTCAATATGAAATTTATGACGTTCTAATGAGTGTTTTGTTTCTTCTAGACGTTCTTGTTTCTGAAAATAAATTTTAAATTTTTATGCTAATTGTAAATAAATTCTAGAACTAATGTACATATTTGATAGGCAAGAAATATATTCATTCTTGGGATCAAATCAAAAATACGCCTGTAAACTACTCAAAAATAGTTTCATGTATTCAATCTTGTTACATTTCGTTTAGTAGATCGAAAAAATTCAAGGATCCGAGTTTTTGAACTGTCAACGTAGATTTTTTGACCTTTTTTTCCATAATTAGACTCACTAGTGATTAGATAATCTTGAATTATTCGACAAAAACAAGCCCTTGTCAGTTTGCATCTTGAGCCTATTTAGAGATAAAATCTTACAAACAGAACTCTTATTCGGTAGCTTCGAACCTAAGCTCTACAACAGTCTATTGCTAATTAATCTTTGCTCGCAGTCTCAATAACCGTGTTGATTACATAGGCGGACTTTTCTAAAAATTAACTTCAGTGCTACAGAAAAACACAGCAGTAGCTTGTGAAATAGCTATACAGCATAAGACAACTTTGTGCAGTTGAATCTGTGCATAACCAAGATAAGGACACAGATGTATCTGCATCGATGTAGGGCTAGTTGTGTCAATTTTATTGTTGTACAAGTACAGAAGTTTAGATAATCTGAGGGTTCCGACTGGCATTGTTTTTTTTTTCGTTGCAAAAAAGTATCTATCGAAAAAGCTTACATCTTTATCGGATTTTTTCTTTTTCAAACATGCCGATAATGTTTCAATATCCGATTCGAATTTATCAACTTGAATCTGTAGTTCTTGAATTGCCTCCTATGAAAACAAAATTTTTTTTAAAATAGTTCGACTCATTTGTTTTCTTTACCGCAATCCATTGATTACATTCTTCTTTTTCTTTTTCTTGTGGATCAAGCTTTTGTCCAGCCCCTAAACCTTCTTTACTATATGCTTTTGTTTTTGTTTCTCTTTCAACTATTTTAAACCTTTCCATTTGCTTGAGAAGAAAAAAACAAAAATAATACGTTTGATCATTATTTTCAAAAATTTCAACAAACTTGTTCGATATTTTTTCTTGCTTCCTGTAAAGACTTTTTGTCTTTGATTTCTGTTGATGATATCCATGCTTTTATTTGATCGCGTAATCGTTGTAATTTTTTAATTTCTTTTTTTAACTCTTGTTCATATTTATCCTTTTGATTATGATTAGGTGCTGTGTGTACCTAGGAAAAAGCAAAACAAAAATAATAACAAAGAACTTTGTTCTTTTTTTTTCAACCTACCTTTTGCCATATATCTTCAAATGTTTCGACACCTTCGGCTACTTTTTTTAAACAACGCTCAATTTCACCTATGAATGAATTTTATTTATACGATTCAATGCATCAAAACGACATAATTATTTACCCTGCAATTTTCTCCTATCACCCATCTTTAGTCGGTTCCTTAGTTTGAATGTCAATAAGAAAAAAATGAAGCATAGACAAAATAAAATTTTATTTCGAAATTTCGAAAGAACAAACGACAAGTAATGTATAACAAGCCCACTGTGTGTTTATCTATCTATAATAAAACAACAGTGATTTAATATCGAGAAACATTATGGTTAAAAACGCATGATTTATTACATGTAATATAACCATGTGTTTTCCAAAAAAAAATGCGAAGTAAATAAACAAATAATATATTGATGCATTGCACACAATGCGTGCGGTCGGTTGGTCGACCGACCGATCTGCCTAATGACTTTGTGACTCATGTAGACCAAAACAGAATCGAACGAATTAGAAACCGATAGAGCAGAGGTCGCTGGAAGATGGTGTATGATTTGTTCGTCATTATTAAATTCTATCTGATTATGTATGGATTTTGCTAGGATTGAAAATGATGAATAGTAATGCGTACAGGTAGGTGTATTTTTGTCGTGAAAGATCAGCGTTCTGTCTTCGATTCAATCTAAAAGTTTTTGTTAGTACATATTCAAAAGAATTTTTTTTATTTCAGTCCGCTATTGAGCAAAAGTTAAAAAAATAGTTTTAATATTAATACAGTAATATAAAATCAGTTTTTTTCTTTTTTTTTTGAAAATTATTTTCAGTACCCAATGGTTATTGACGGAAAGTTTTTTTTCTGTTACGTATGAAACCACTGATAAGTGCTTTGTCCGCTAGATAGTCACCGCAGTGTTTTCTAGGCCTATTTTAAAAAAATCACCAAAATCACGACGATTTTTCGCGACACGGGTAGGCGTCTTACTAAATTATCTAAGCATGATTATTATATACATCATTTTGTTTTATTTATGCAACGTAGATAACATCGTGTGCACGATTTACTTGACACGGACTTACTTGACGTTGATGGTTTTTCGATTTTAATTGGTTTTTTTAGCGAAAAAATGTTATTTTCGCTGCAGATGATTTACTTGACGTTGATTAAATAAAAATGGATTCCAATTAGTCTATTTTTTCTACGAGGATTTTCTTTCCGTTGATTGATTAGACGTAAAGATATGAGCAATTATTGCGACAGTCAATGTATTATCAGAACAAAAAAAACAACAACAAATATATATAGTAAGAAACAAAAGAACAATGAGAAGTCGTTTTTGAACTTTTTGATGGACGTTGAAAATATCTCAGTCCTGCAGCGTTGAGGAACGATGGAGTATCAATACGACCATTATCATAACATTCCCACAATTTCATTAAACATTCATCTGTTACAACTATATTTTTTCGACGCTTTGGAGTTGAAGCGCCCATATCATCTCGTATACTTGCAATCGATGCCAACGCTTGCTCCTTTTGCAGTAAGTCAATGGCTTTGAAAATGTTTGGATGTGAAGAATTTACATGTTTTATTATGTTCACAACCATTTTAGTCGCCAAATTGTTGAGCACTACTCATTTATAACTGAAAATTCAATTTATCGTTCGCTTATTGATGAATATTCTTTCCGATTAAAAATTGTTTCGAATTTGTTCTTGCAACACATTGATAATGCACCTTCTTATTTCATTACGTTTAATCAATCAACGGAAAGTAAATCCTCGTAGAAAAAATAGACTAATTGGAATCCATTTTTATTTAATCAACGTCAGGTAAGTCGTTTGCAACGAAAATAACATTTTTTCGCTAAAAAAAACAATTAAAATCGATAAACAATCAACGTCAAGTAAGTCCGTGTCAAGTAAATCATGCAAACAGAAGAACAGTCATAATCTAAAGTAACTGACAGAAAGTATTGAAATAAAGAATATTTTCTTTTGCATTTCAAGGGTGGAAGTTGGAATTAAACAAAATTAGAATCATTTTATTTTATATTATCTAACATATATAAACTACGTTTTCATATATTTGTTTTTCTGTCTTGTAGCAACATTTTGTAGAAAAGAAACAACAACTAGATTTGTAGCTATCTATATTTCACCAAAAATTGAACTAAACTACAATTAAACTTTGAATGAAGATGAACAAATGGAAAGCAAGAAAACAAATCGAACAACGTCTTTGATTCTAATATTATATTCTTTATAACTTTTTTTTTTATTTTCATCTATATGAAAATTTGAATATTATTAGAGTGTGAGTATCTTATGTCATACGTCTCTTTTCCTCTAAACTAGAACGAACAAAATAATAATCGAAAAAAAATTCTACGTCCTACATATGTTGCTGTTACTTAAAATTGAGAATGAATTTGACTCTCATTTGAGATAAAATAGTTAATTGTTGAATGATAACGTATTGTTAAACAATCTATTTTGATTTTTCAAGTGACGCAAACGACTACCCAGATGAATGAATCCGACAACGGATGTTATCGAATCCTATGCGATCCAACTCCCCGGCAGAATTCGACAGAATTCCTGGACACGAACGTATTGTCGGTTCCGACGGAAAGAATCATTTTCTTATTCACGATCAAATAAGCATTTTGAGCCATCAGAGCGCAAGGGTGATTCGATAGAGTTGGATTCCGTTAAAATCCGATATCGGATCCAATATCAATGATCTGACTGTAGATCCGCGTCCAGGAATCCCATAAGTTTTCGTCGGTTTTATTGAAACAATGGTATTCAGTATACTCACTGTGTAACCCTTGTCGGAATCTGATAGGATTCTACTGTCGGGATGATTCTCCTGGGTAGCTATGTGTTTTTGTTTTTTCAATTTGATGCAATTTAATGTTTTTTGTTCTTGATATTCATAGTATTTTTGGGTACAATTATTAATCTGTTTTTGTTTGAAGCTAAGTAAAACAAAATCAAATATAGGTGAATGACACAATCTATTTTATCTTCTTTTTAATTTTCTTTTAATTAAACTCAGTAGTTTTTATAGTAATATGTTTTTATATAGAGTTTTACTATTATAATCATCTATTAATTTATTGCATATTAAATTTCTTATTTGTTGGTAGCACAGTTTGTTATCTTTATCTTTGATTTAGGTGAGATGAGTTTTTGTTCTTTTTTTCTTCCTTATGCTTTCTTTTTTGTCTATATTTCTTCAACCAGAAAACCATTTGAAATTTGTTTTTGCTTTTCAGTTTGAAAAATGGCCAAATTTAACGGGATTGGAATTTTTGATCATGTGAATACAAGGTGGGAAATCACCTTTAAAAAGGAAAATTTCCACACAGTCATAGAGACTATGAAGGTTTTGGAACTAAATGCAATTCAACTTGATCTTGATGAAGATCGATTCTTATTCTTCGATCCTGATGGTGATCGTTATGGTGCATTTGATATCCATATTTTATCAAACTCAAGTAAAATATACGCGCATGCTCGATTACATAAATTAGGTCAATAGATTATTGATGAACCAATAAAACATTTTAACATGAACAACACTGATTTCGGCATAGAAACATCTCCTGAAGAAAAGAAAAAAGAAAAAAACAAGAATCTCAGGGCGCTCAACTTGGGTCGTACACGCCCGTTTGGTATGCACCGTATTACGGTCGTTTTGCATCGTGCAAAATAGGACCGTTTACGATCGGATACTGAAATATCCGGCCACATTACGGCCGTTAATAACCGTTTAAGACACGACGAAATACGACCGTAATACAGTGCATGACAAAACGTCAAATTACGCCGATTCATGGTCGGAAACGTTATAAAACGGTAGTATACGTTGCCGTATGCGGCCGTTTACGATCGTATCAGGTCGCCCTAATGTTCGACCTGGGAAAATATCCAAGAATAATAGCGGTATGTTAAACAACAATACAGTTTTTGGAAACATTCATGATGGTACAAGTAAATTCAATGAATCAAATGTTATTGGTAAGTTCAGTTGTTAACGTTGAAAAAACTTTAAAAACAAAATCTCGTATCAAATTCCACTTTATTCTATTGCGAACTATTTGTTTCCTTCTAGAATCTTTAATAAATATCGATGATATTATCAAACAAAAAGAATTTTCAAAAGATCTTATTATCATTGAATTAGAAATCGATCGATGTACTGTTATACAAGAAGATGAAGATGCAGAAAATAAAAATGACAGTGAAGAAAAGAAAGATGATGATAAAAAGAAAGAGATTAAGTACGAAAAGCAACATAGTGTTGTGAACTCATCGATCACTTCTCTATCATTTAGTGCCACTGAAAAGTTTCAAACAATAACACCTTTCGAAAATTACCTTATTAATGAGCTGCAATTGGTCAATAAAAAAATTATATTCAATAGACAAGCGATTCAAACTACTAGACAAACGGCTGAGTCGCATAGAAAAACAATCGGCAGTTACATATGAAATAGCATCAGAAAGACGCGTCGGTCACTCGGTATGACTTCAATTTCTGGCTTATCGGGTGAATTTTACCATGTGAATGAATATCGACCGGTTTTAAATGCTCTTGCGTATGATTTGATCAAAAAGTATTGTCATCGATGGGCGATGTATGCCCATGTCCAAGAAAACGGTGTGTAAACGGCCATAGAACGTGGAAAAGCGACACCGTTTCTCGTCAACTCGGGAAACAACGAACAAAGTGTTAAAAACTATGGCCATTTTCTAGCGAAAAAAAACGGTTCATAAAACGAGTTGACGGATTACGGCGAAATAAGGTGAGAACTAATGCCTTATTATATCGTTTTATAGCCGTTTCAGGCCTGTTAAGATGCCCGTTCCGGCGATCGGAATGATTGTCCTGTGTTATACTCAATTTGAAAATCTATTCAATTTGTCGTTTGTACAAGCTGTTCCTATTCTTGAAGATCTCAACCAAAATCATCGATTTTTCATAACTTGGTAATTTATAATACTTTTTTTTATTAAAAATGTAATGCTTTATAGTTGTCAATGAAAAAAAGAAAAAAAATTAGGATAAATAAATAAACAAACATGATTATATAAACATTTCATAAATTTTTCATTTACTTTTTTCTTTGTTTTTGAAATTCTTTTCCATTGTAAAGATTTTTAGCATTGAATAAATAAGATCAGGTTTTGTCGTTGTTAAAAACTCATGACAGTAATGAAAGTTTTCATAAATGATAACATATAAAATGAGATGCTTTTTCTTCTAATCTTCGAGAAATTCATTTGGGCTCCCACAACATTGCCAGACGTTGCCTTTTGGATAGATTCGTTTAGTTTTATCGTTTGAAATCATACAGTGAAGTAGACTTTTCAAACGATTGACATTATGCTGATCTTAGTGTTTGAAGATATTTAGTTTAAAATTTATGAAACCATGCATATTCAAATGATGTAAATATACTAATTAAAATTTATTGTTCAAAGCGTTGGATAAAATATTTCAAGTATTTCTATATGTGTATTTGAAACTTAACAACTCGAAATTTTCGGATAAGCATGAATTTCAATAAAGTTGAGTATGAGAATGTTGGACGTTTTATTTTTGGAGAGTGAAATAAACGGTTGATTTATTCTATTTGTTCTATACAAATATGTATCTGAATCAATGCATAGACGCCATCTCAGGGTATAAATAGAGACTTATCCTTTTCTTTAGCTTCTTTCAGTAGTTCTATATTAATCTAATTAATATTTTATTTATCAACATATTTTATTTTATTTTTGTTTGAAATTGTCTAGGTAATATATTCTTAAGGGTGTGGGTGTATGCATCAATCAATAGTAGTACTACA